TATATATATATATATATATATATATATGGTGGTAAAAATAGCATCGTATCACATGTTAAATTCCCTTTACTCTTACTGCATACATCTTCTGAATATGTGCTCTTTCTTGCAGCCATGCTTTGTGAAGGCAGGTTGCTGATCATGACCTACTGTGAATTTGAAGAGCTGGACTCCCTTCCTTCTAAGCCAGCTTTCCAGAATTCTTATGGGTCACAGAAAGCAGCTGCTGCCCTCATACCAGGTTCCACCAGACATGCTCCGCTTGTTCATCACAATTCCCCGGAGCAGATAACTACAGACAACCGAAGGGCTTCAGCTGAGTTGTACATTTCTCCTTTGCAGTCCTTAAATCTTCAGAGAGCTCATCTAGGCAGGCAGATCTCTCGAGAGATAGAGATCCCGGCCCAAGCTCACTCAGGTGGCGATACCCCTTTCTTGGTTCCCTCGTTCTGTCAGAGCTTTTGCAAAAACTACAGTGACCTTCATATTGCAGGTGACCAGGTGCTGCCTCTCTCAGCTAATAATTGCGAGCTGAGGGTTTGTGCCAATGTACCGGATGTCGGTCCCTTTATCCAGTCTTGTGATGTGCCCCCAGCTGTGGAAGATTCCCTCCAAGGACACGAAGCTCGGGATGGGATGCTGTTTCCACTGAGGGGAGGTTCGAATCGGTGGAGACTGGGGAGCGGCCGTGATCGGAGCTTTTTGCTCCAGGGGCATGAAGGTCCATTTTCCAACTCCCTTCTGAATCACTACCTGGAGCAAAAACTCCTGGATCTGTATCAGCAATACATGATGGAGAATATGGCAAGAGAAGGAGCCCCTGGTTCAGACTCTGACGCAAGTGCCATTTGCCCTTTACTGGGCTCAGAGCTGGTCCTCACCAGCCTGGACCAAATCACTTTGCAGCTCAGCCGGGAGGGCAACATGGAGGCCGGCTTGGCCAAGGACATGGTCCTGAGCTGCTTCCTGCGAGTCGCTGGTGATATGCAGTCAAGTGAGATCAGTACTCCCTTTCTGCAGATTTCTAATGAGGCATCCAGGGAGCAACTCACAGAGAGTAATGAGTGACCCCACTGTCAAGGAACTCCTTCATTCAATACTGCCTTTCATTTCAGTACAACACCGAAAAAACCCAGGATTGGACTGATGACCACATTTTTATTTTATTAGCTCTTGAGAAGATGTTAAATGAGAGTTCTACGTGGGATTATGCAGTAATTACCTGGAAAATGTGCCGTATTTATGCATCCTAAATTGAATTTGCAGTGATGACACTGGGATCTGTGTTTACCTGTCTTTAGTGCAGCTTTAACTTTCTAAAGAAAATAAAAACAGGAACTGAAAACTGAAACCGCTGCTTCCCGTTTTTCAAAAGAACATCGATGGTCTAGCAGAACAACATGAAATCAAAAACAGCATGCTGCCTCATTATGTATTATGTGCAGCCACATCTAAGATCATTTTGCATGCTTAATGATCACTGATTAATTAGATTTGACTCTTTTTTTTTCACGAAGGAAACAAGGCTGTTTATGATCAAACTAGGAGGGAAGACACTGAATTTGCAACAAATATCCAAAAGTGCAGCCTTGAAATGCCCTTCGATCAACACGCTGTCATTCTAGGCTTCACACAGCGACTTCATCGGCTCTGTTACCTAAAAATGTAGCTGTAACCAAGTGCTGCATTTGTTACCCCAGTCTCCCCATCAGGACTGCAGATGTAAAGAATTTGATTTCATGATGTCTGAGCAGCACATGAAAAGAGAATACATGCTTTAACGAAACAGATTTTCTATTAATTCAAAAATCATCATCCAGGAGTGTAATTGCTCCTTAAGAATGAAAAGAAAACTCCACGAGCTGACTATTTCCCCCTCCTCCACTCTTCCTTGAACTCAGCTGTATGATGAGGACAAAGATGAATCAAGACTGCTGAAAATCATTGAAAGAAAACAAAGGCACTTTTGTACATCTCATGTCATTTATTCTCTTGTCTTGCAGATCACCTTTCCCCTTACTGACTCATCCACAGATTAATATCCCACCCTTGATGAAATTACTTATATTATAATGTGACTTATGAATGCTCCCTCTCTCTCTATGTGTCATTTTATGTGTTATGTAGCCAATTAGAAACATTTAACAACCCCTAAGAACTCTAATTAGTTTATATAATTGTCCTTTTGATCGTCTGACTCTCTGATGTTAGCATGAAATACTATAGATCATGGTTTTGGAGGCTACTCTGAAATCCATTTAAATGATGACTTTAGGGGGGTCGGATTCTTGCCTCCTTAAGTAATTAGCGCGAGAGGATCCCTTTAAAAATCAGTCACCTGAAGCACGATTCGGAGTTCCTCTGTGAGCTGTAGAAAAAGGCTCTGACCGTCTAACTGCCCGCTGTTCTGACCTACTCCCACAAACCTTTCTGATCTTCTGCAAACCCATTCACAGCCAGACCCAGCGCTTCATCCTCCATCCCCGCCGCACTGCCGTTTACTGATAACCTGTTGTTTAACCTCGGACTTCTCTTCACCTGCTCAAATAGATGTTATCCAGTATCCTCGGTTACTGGCTTCTTTCAGGAAAAAGTTGTTTACATCTCTGAGAAATCATACTTGGATTTTTTTATAGCTCAGTCCTTTAGGTCATTCCTCTTTTATCATGTTTCCACGCCTCAGTGTCTTTCGCTTATTATGTTTTATTTTAAATGAGCTGTTATTGTAGCTGAATGTAGTTATAGTTTCTCATCTTGTTGCGGCTCATCACTCCTTGCCAGTGCACGGTGGAATCATAAGTAATCGTCCGCTGAGAGCCTACAGGTGGGAGCTGGGGTGTTAACAGTAGGTTTGATTTGTTGGAGGGAGAGATTGGAAAATGGGAGAGTTTGTTTGGAATATGATGTGAGGAGAGTGACACATGTTGGCGTATGTATGCAGTTCAGCTCGAGCTGACTTGAATTAACTCACGGGTTTGGCTCCATTTGTGCTGTTTTTGAGTTACTGCTACTCTTTTGTTCACTTCTCAGTCTTTGAGTTGAATAGTTTGCTGTCTTATTAATGGATAACTTTTCCCTAAACTTACTTCTGAAACTCTCCTTGAGAGAAAATCTGAGAAGAACGAGAGTCATAAAGCGCTGATAATCTTATCTAACTGTCTGGCTGAATCAATGGTAGAGCAAGGTTGTGTAGGAGCTTTACATATTTATTTCTAAAGCTTCTTTAATTCAGGGTGGTTTAATAAAGTCATGATGTGAGGTTAAAGTTCCCCTTGACTTAAATCTGTGCCCATGTATTTTACTCAGATGTGCTTTTTTGCTCATTTTTATTCCTTTAACTTTCACACTTTGCTGGGTGAAAGTCAGTAAGCGTTCAAAAATTGATATCTGGTGTAAGAAATTGTTGCCCTTAAAAAGCAACAGTTCTTTGAGGTGGACATTGAAAGAACTGGATAATTGGCAGGTAGGTTGTTCTCTTCACCTTGGGGTACTTGTACACAGTTTTTGTCGATATCTGCCCTCATGTAATCCCAGACTAAGTGATGATCACGACGCTATGAGGGGCATATTCTTCTGTCAGGGGCACATCCTTCTTTGGAGGGGTACTCGAGCCTGTGAGGGTTTAGCTGAGGGTTTGTTTTTTTTTATATGGCTGTAACTGTATTTTTTTTTGGAGTTGTTGTCATGTTGCAGAAAGAACTTGAAGGCTTTTTGGACATTTATCTGTTTGCTCAACTTAAAATGATGTTTGAAACCACACATGGGAATGCTTATGATCACATTTAATTTGAAAACCAAATGTTATCAAGTATTAATTTCTTGTGCACTATTCATATAATGTGAATTTCTGCATGTTTGGAGTATCGGGTGTTTTCCATGCATCTAAGCAGTATATTTCAAAGCCCAGGACAATTGTTTAAATTCTGAAATTAAACAAATTGGGTTTCATGATATAGCTCCAGGCATTCAAATCTTTATTTATTCTCTTACAAAAAAAGAGCTTCACTGATTTTCTTGTAAGTCTTGCAGTTTGATAATCAGTCACAAGGGGGAAGCATTGCCACCTAACTTAATCCTCATGGCTTTGCCCCTCTATACCTTTTATTCCCCCTTTTCACCTCCTCCTTACAGTCAGTGTCTATCCAGCCAGTTAATGTCCTCTATCTTGTGCACCCTTTTACTCTGACTCTATGATGTCATCAGGACTGGGGTGTAAATCTGTTCAGATAAGGATAAGCATATCTACACCACAAGATTTAGTTTTGGAAAATATTGCACATGTATAATTTTTAGCAGGGCTGGACAATGTTTTTGCACATTCTTTTCACCCTTTTTTTCTCCACTTTCAAAGACCAGCGGCTCCAGTGTAGCCATGGCCTTCTGATCCAGTGTTTGATCAACTTCCTTGTTTCCTTTCCAAACAGAAAGCCACAGGAGGAAAATGTGTTTACCGAGCTGAGTGCCGCAGTCGGAGCCCTGTGAAGTCTCAAGGCCAGAGAGACACATGTTTGGTATTTCTGCTTCTATCTGGACTGAACATTCCAGGTACATGTTAAAGGAACAAAGTTCTTACAGACCTAAACACAAACGCTCACATATAAATATGATTCACCCAATGCCAAGCCCGGCAGCGTGAGCATTCAAATAAACTAATTTCCACAGACCTTGGAGGAAAAAAAAGAAGAAAAACAGACCTGTTGTTCCAGCAGAGGTTATAAGAATTGTTTGAAGGGCTGAAGGTAACACCACATAAAGCAATATCTCACAGTCTGTTTACCTAGAGACCCTCAAATTCACCGTTCACACAAATTATGCACGCTATTTACATTTTCTTCTCAGCAGATTTATAATTTACAGATTTTATTTTACTCGTTTGGTTTCAAATGCTTTACAAGTAGAAGGACAAAGAGTTCAAAAAAATTGCTATGGGGAGTTTTTTTTTTCTTTAAGGGAAGGAATGGTTTTTGGAGAAAACATGAATAAAGAAGACAGACAGAGAGTGGTGAAAACACACACACACATGCACGCACATGCACTTCTCTCATGGCCTAGCAATGAAACTAACGGGGAGGTTGAAGTGTTGGAGTGTCTTTCAGAGGTTCATAAAGTAATTTCCTCGTCACAAAGAGCTTTTAACATGGAGGGCAGTGGAGGCAAGGCCATGGGATTTTATATCAAAACCAAGGTCCCGGATACACTCTCACTATTGTGGCTTTAATGCCTTTCGCACTCTGTGGCTTCCCTTTATTTAAAAAGCTTTTACTATGCGGCTTTGTTAATTGGAACAGCCACGTATGTTTACATTTCTTTTTGTGACTTTTCATAATTTGTTAGCGCCTACTAAAAGTCAAGATCTTTTGGGTTCTTCAAAGATTTACACACAGACTCACACGCATGCAGGAAAACACGTAAACGCACACACAAGTGGAAGCATTTCAGACTACAGCTGGTGTATTGAAGCACTTAATTCGATTAACATTTGTTGAGAAGCTCAACTTCGCTTGAGCGATTGCCTTTTTTTTTTCTTAGATTATATTCAGTGGATTGACCTAATGAACAAGAGGCAGCATGCAGGAACATTAAATGGCAGCCCTGCTCTGTAACTGTCTGATTGACACTGGGAGATATACGTGGTGGAACGGGAGAACACACATTTCCTGGTCGGTTAGCTGCTCAAGGCTGCAGAGAGCCCGCAGTGAAGCGGGTGACCTTGGTTAAGCTGGAGCAGACAGAGAGCGACCTTGAGAGACAGCGGTGCAGCAGGATCTGGCTCTCAAAGAGCTGGAAAACATAATGCGTTCATGTTTGAGTATATATCACAGAACTCAGAATGTGGACAGCATGTGGCTCTGAAAACAGATTTTCCCCCACACGCTGTCCTTTACTGGATAGCTTATTATGTATTTCTGATTTCCGAGACATAACATTCATTTGTGGACCCGATCCTTGTTTTTCATCTTTAGATTCCTCAATTTCACAGATAGAGTAGCTTCAAAGTGTTTTTGGAGGTTCTTTTTTTCTTCTCCACTCGTCAAAGCACTACTGTGTTCTCATGTGTTTGTCTTTGATTACGACTTTGATCACTGTCAGTGACAGCACGCGCACACACTGACCTGTCCATCTGGAGATTTTGATGAACATTTTCTTTCACCCCTTCTTATATCATCTCTGTTGTTATCAGTTTGTGCATCCTTTGTGTACTTGTTTGACAGATGGTTTAGCTTACAGAGCAAAAAATCAACAGTGTCTTTTTATTATCTATCCTTCCACACAAGTCCAGTAACATTTGACTTTAATGAAATGGGGAAAAAAGTATACATAATTTCACTTTTTGGTTTGTAAAGAGGCTACAAACAATAGGTTCTCAAACTGGCATGTAAAATAATGCATAAGACACACGGAAAGAAATACAAAGTGCATTTTTTATTTGAAACTTGTACATTTTTCATGGACGGTATTCTTTGATTGATTAATGTAAAAAGTAACTAAAGCGAAACACAACCAAAAGTTTGACCATTGTGCTGAATATTTACTTTCTGAGGGCAAACCCCGTCAGGCTACATCATGTGCAAATAAATACTGAAATTTGCACATAAACAAACCATACAAATCTCATGCCCTATCATGTGTGTAACAGCTGCTATACACACACCTGTGTCTTACTATGCTAATGCACATGTTGGCAGACAATACACAATATACAAGCAATATACAGATAATTATGAATAAGATAATGAATACAGAGTGCAGCTGTGTGTGGCAGCTCACATAGCAAACACTACACAACTTGTCAGACACTTTTTTTAGGCACATGTTGCTACTACTTCAGAACAACCTTAATTCTTTATAATAATAATGGATTGGATTTATATAGCACTTTTCAAGGCACCCAAAGCGCTTTACAATGCCACCATTCATTCACACACTGGTGGAGGCAAGCTACAGTTGTAGCCACGGCTGCCCTGGGGTAAACTGACAGAAGCGAGGCTGCCATGTCGTGCCATCGGCCCCTCTGGCCAACACCAGTAGGCGGGAGGGTAAAGTGTCTTGCCCAAGGACACAGCGACCAGGACAGAGAGCCCGGGGATCGAACCGGCGACCTTCCAGTTACAGCTGCTCATTTATCAGTTTCACAACATCCATGATGTGAAACTGTCACATCTCTCCACCTCATCTCAAGATCTGGTGACCGTGTAGGCCATTTAACTACAGTGAACTCATTCACATGTGGAAGAAACCAGTTTGACATGGTTGGAGCTTTGAGACATGCAGCCATCAGAAGATGGGTACCACCGTGACCATAAAGGAATGCACATGGTCAGCAATTATACTATATACAGTGACCATATAGTGTACGTCATGAATGAAAGTGAGCCTTCAATGTATAAATCTTGATACTGGTCAGTTATGTATGAGCGTGATAGTTTAAGCTGCTGTATCTGGTAGTTTTGGTGTAAACAGCTCTTCAACCTTGGCTGGAGGGAAGGTGAAAAACTCCCGTACAAGATGTTGGATATCTGTAAGGATGCAGTTTTTTTGTTCTTACATAATACCTTAATCACAGGTGATCGAATGTAGCCCCCCTCGTCCTTGCTGCTCTGTTTGCTCTCCACTGTTTGCTGTAGTCAGTTTCTGCACTGCTTTCTGGCTGCGCCACATCAGAGTATGATGGATGTGCACAAGATCCTGATTGCAGTTTAGAGCTGGCTCAGCAGCTCCTGTGGTAAATCATATTATGCAGTCCAAGTTCATGTGAATACAATCTGATTTTCAAAACAGTCCATGAAATGTGTGAAAGCTGTTCTGGGAAATGTTATTCAGTGACTGCTGTTCTGGAAACTGTCTCATAAACGATGGAATGAGCGCTCTGTGGTCAGTATCTGGTTGACGATAAAGACATAGTGCTTCAAGTTTAATTCTGCATGGCAAGTGTTGGTACTAAGTTGTGTGATGAGAGTTTAAAAAACACAGATGTTTCCATGCTTGCTTTGACTGGCTGATGACACAGTGTCCTCCAAATCTTCTTGTCTCTGCTCAGCCATATTTCTTATTATTTTTTACATTTTATTTTTTGAAGTTGTAAGCATCCTTTGTGTCAGCTGACATTGTGCTTTCATCTGCTTGAATCTGCTTTGCTACCAGCGGTATACTGGCAGGTATCACCACAGTCGTCTTCATTCACTGCTGCTTTCAGGTTGCGCCGATGCACTTGTGTTTCATAAAAATCTTTTCTTTTGTACTTTTCCTTTGATCAGGCACAAGTATTTTCATGGTTACATGAAAGCTGGAGGCAATGATGCAATATTCTGCGCATGCACAAATTCATAAATTGGAAGCTTTCTCTTTACCAGATAGACAACTTTTCAGTTTTTCTAGTGACAACCAAGCGTGCCTGTTGTGCACCAGGGCGTGATGTTTCTAATTAGGATGTGGTTGCCTTTCCTCTTTTCCCAGAATGCCTTACTTTGTTGTCATAACTCTTTTTTCCTCTCTCTCTGCAGACGCCTCTCTGCAGACGTCTCTCTGCAGACGTCTCTAGCACTATATTGGCTTTTTGCTTTCAGTTTCCCCCCCTTTTTTTCATGTATTTCAATAGTATGGGGTTCTACTTTCTTGTTATTCAGAATCAGAGGTTGTAGGTCCCTCCGGAATAGGCAGTAAAAACTCACTGGCTCACATTTTCTGAAGTTGCATTTCACAGGCTGGCTTATTAAGCAACACACAGGTTTCCACAATCTCTGGGAGAATGTTCACCATCAGCAGGGGAGCCTTTGACCAATCTCCCTCTGGGTGATATGGTGTTCTTCTTGAGCCTACAATGTTCCAGCTGGTTGTCAGCTGGATGAACAGCTGATTTTCTAACTCAAAACTTAGGGTATAGTCATCAAATATCTTGATGTCTTCTATCTTGTCTGATTTTGATGTTTTATAGATTCGTACAAATCATGTGAAATGGGATATTATCAATATATTTTCAACACAACATTGTTTTTTTTTCTCCTGGACAGATCATCCAGACACTCTGAGTGCCGAGTAGTGACACTACTGCTAGGGGATGTTTCATTGTGTCTGCTGGGCCCTTAAGGAGCTGAGGATGACTTGCTAAAAGCTTTTTAATCACCGTGATATGGAAAACATATCATGTCTCTCAAAGGTCAAAGGTATATTCAAAACACTATTCCGATCCTCTCCTGTGGGCTCCAAGTCATAACAAAGGCTGTCAGATGTATTCTCTCAACTAAGAAACAGTAATGACAGGCCTTACTTGATCCAAGAGAGAAAACAGAGAGTTGCTTCCCAAACCATCCATGATAGAATAAACAGGCTTCTTTCTCCTGTTACGATGGGAGTCTGTTTGTTCTTGGAGCCTCAAGTACAGGAACAGCTGGTTTCAGCGCTGCCAAGCTTCATTTTTTAACGCTGAAGGTTGCTACTTTGTTGCGTGAAGTCAGTGACGCTCTGTTGTGAGTGTGTGAAAGACAAGGTTGGCAGTAATCAAGCTACTGAAATCTGCGACAGGTAGACAAGCCCATAGTTGAGTATAAATGGTAAGTGGCCTGGTACTTATATAGCGCTTTTCTACTACAAGCTTCGTCACCCAATCACACACACACACATACATTCATACAAGAAATCCCAAAAATCCCAGGTTTCCCCAAACTTATAAACAGTAAATTTACATGATGACTGAAACCAGCACCACTGATGAACAATGGTTTGTGAGGTCTCTTGGTCATTAATATGCAAATTGTCATGACCATTGATCAACAACCACTGATCAAACAAACAAGAACATCATATCAAGAAAGGCCTGAGTAAATATCATTATCCTAGCTGGACATTTGTCAAAGCTGGGAAGGCACCTGAAGAAAGCGCCAGATGATCCAGCAGAGAAGAAGGACAACTGCTGCCTAAGTAAGAAAATCCTGAGTGACGCCTTATGTGTCGGAAGTATTGGAACAGCTAAGATGCATTTTGTCTAAACACTACATCTCTTTGGCTTTCAAACCCCAAAACACGCTGCGCCAAAAAAAAAGATCAGATTCCCCGACACAAACAGAGTAATGTAGCGTATGCTGGTAAGTGTCAGGAGGATTGCTGTGATTTATACATTGGGGAAACCAAACAACCTCTGTTTAAGTGGATGCCATAACATAGAAGAGCCACCTTGTCAGGCTAGGTCTCTACATTTACACCTAGAGGCCAGTGGACACTCTTTCAATGATGAGGATGTACACAGGAACGTTGGTTTGAGCGGGGAGTCAAGAAGGCCATTTACGTGGAGAAAGAAAGGTCTGAATCAGGGAGGGTGCCTAAGGGTACACCTGTAACCATCTTAAAATGCTGTGATTGCAGATATTCAGATATGTTATAATACAAATAAACAAATTCTTTACTTGAACAAGGAAAGACACAAGTTGCAGCGATTATTCAGCTTCACATTGCAGGAATAGTATAGATGAACTGTAAGATGAAGAAAACTTTATTTTACAGTTGGCAGTCTGAAAAACATGCTAAAGGGGTATGCTTAAAAGGTATCCCCGTGTGTCAGAAAACAATGCTGTTGTCTCTTGCATTTATATATAACATCTTGACATAGTATGCACCAAGCTGGGAGTGAGAATGAGCTGTCTTTTCTAACCCATAACATACAGAGTCAAAAGCTAAAATAAGATATGGTGTTTACTACATATAACATGTAGCGACCAATGTAAGAGATGCCAAGGTAGCCTGGCAAAGATTGCCTCATATAAACAGGAAGTTCATCAAGTTCAGCAGGCATTTAGAGGAGGCCTTGGCCTTGGCCTTGGCAAAAGAAAACATGTATAGAAAGCAACACCCTGAAGAGCGAGGAAAAAATTACTGATACAAATAAAGTGTGGAGAGGAGGCAGAATGATGTGCCAAGCAAGGCCAATAGATGAACTTGAAAAGGCAGAAAAGAATAAAGGGTAATTGGAAAGAACTTCTAGATATAAAATTATATTAATACAGGCGGAATGTGGCTTGCTTTAAAACTATAGCCAGCTGTCGTAATTGAAGAACCAAGAATGTTTGTTTACATGTATGTTGTCATGCTATCAGATGGGGTTAATACAAACGGATATAGCCTTGAACTTTGTGAATCAGGGGCCCTAAAGTGGCTACAAGACAACCCCTGCAAGGGGAATGGTTTTGCAGGTGGTGGCCACGGATCATTGCTCTCTGCTTATCCTTCCTGACTGATTTCTTGCTAGTTTTACTTTTTACTTGAGTCCTTGTGATTGTTGGTAGCACAGGGCAGTACTTCCAGCCCATTCGTGTTCCACCAATAGTCCAACTCACCCATAAGTGACATCATAAGAAGGTCTGCTGTGTCTCCCACGACTTTCAAGTGCGTAGAAGAGATGCCAGGAGATGAGGTGTTACATGAGAAGACATGGAGAGGGCCATATAGACCATTAACCTGGCAGCACAATATGAGGAGCATTGCCAGAACCCTACAAAATGACCGGGCTGCTCATGTGTATGTTTGTGACCAAACTGAAATAATCAGATGAAGGTGGGAGGTCCTCCGGTGGAGCCAGTTCTCCCAGCCCCGTGCTCTTTAGCTCGACTGAAATTAACTAGAGAACACCAGAACTGGCAGGTTGCCCACTGGTACCCTGTTCACTTCATAGATAATGTTGCAGGCAGCACATCATTCATCAGACTCTTAAGTCTGAACCTGCTCTTACCTGTAAAGAGAACGGGGCGCCAAGTTTGGCAGGTAGCAATCACCTGCCAAACTCGGCACCCACCCCCATATAACTTAATCAAAGACAGTCCC